TTGTATTTTTTTTAGTAGAGACGGGGTTTCACCGTGTTAGCCAGGATGGTCTCGATCTCCTGACCTCGTGATCTGCCCGTCTCGGCCTCCCAAACTGCTGGGATTACAGGCTTGAGCCACCGCGCCTGGCCTAATTTTTGTATTTTTTAGTAGACATGGTGTTTCACCATGTTGGCCAGGATGGTCTCGATCTCTTGACCTCATGATCTGCCTGCCTCAGCCTCCCAAAGTGCTGGGATTACAGACGTGAGCCTGGCTGAGACCCTGTCTCTTATAATAAATAAGTGAGTGAATGAATTAATTAATTAAATTCTTTTTTATCTAAAAGCATATGGCAACAGAAGCTAACATGCAATAGCCAGGAATTCCATTACAACTTTCATTAAACTGTAGAGGCTGTATCTTAAACTGTTGAAAGTTATTTATATCAGAAATATACTTACATAATGAATATGACACAATATATCTGTACACAAAATGGTGCTGTTGGAAATTAGATGGTTACTATGATATTGATTAATTGCTATTTTTTTTGAACTTTTAAGTCTCAATTTATTCAGTTATTCCAATAATGTAATCAACTTGTTCAGGGATATAGGCCTCTATAGCTTGGCAGCATATATCTGACTAGTCTTTCTAGAATCTCATAAAATATACTTGACCATTGTAGCAAAGAGGCATTTAGTAATTGAAGCATTTTGAAAGAATATCTTCCTCTCAGATTCCCCCAAAAGCATTGATTGTCTATGGAAATGTACCTTGTAGATGAGCTGAATAATTTCCTTTTATCCTGAAGTCTTTGCTTTCTTGTTGGAAAATTGGAAAACAATGTATAACTGAGTCATTGTCATTTAGACAAAATGTCTAGTTATAAAGCCTTGTAGAACACAAAGTTCTGCTTATCAGATTCTTTTAGAAGATGAGCTGTTGAGCAACAGGTCGTCTGTTGTCCCATCTCTGCTTATTCAGCGTGTTAACTGGGGAATCATTCTCTGTCCTCTCCCTTTTTTTATATTAATAGGAAACTTCCATTTTAGAAGAATACAGTATCAATTGGACTCAGAAGCTGGGAGCTGGAATTAGTGGTCCAGTTAGGTAAGCGATCCATATGAGAAACTATGGCAAAATGTTGGCATGTGCAAACTCTGAGAAGGGCCATTTGAAATACATCCTGAATTAGATACATCAAGTGTGCCAGGTTTGAGAAATTGGCTGAATTTAACAAGTACAGGTTTTTATGTTAGGCTTTTTCTCATGTATTTAGAAATTAGTTAAGAGTGACTGAGTCACATGGTCTTTTTATAGAGTCATTTAAGATGTCGAGACTGGCCAGGCGCAGTGGCTCATGCCTGTGATCCCAGCACTTTGGGAGGCTGAGGCAGGCGGATCGTGATGAGGTCAGGAGATCGATACCATCCTGGCTAACATGGTGAAACCCCGTCTCTACTAAAAATACAAAAATTAGCCAGGTGTGGTGGTGCTCGCCTGTAATCCCAGCTACTCGGGAGGCTGAGGCAGGAGAATCGCTTGAACCAGGGAGGCAGAGATTGCAGTGAGCTGAGATCATGTTACTGCACTCCAGCCTGGTCACAGAGTGAGATTCTGTCTCAAAAAAAAGAAAAAATGTGGAGACTCTGGGGCCACTGTGAGAGTCACCTGTAGCCAGCTGAGGCCATTATTTGTTCATTGACCCACAGCAGCAAGTTGCTGTTGCATGACTTAGAAGCTGAGGCCTGAGCATTGGCTGCTGGGCAGAGGGGTGAGATGCTTCTTCACCCTCACCTGCCACCCTTGGGGGCAAGTTTGTTCTGATGCACCTGGCCATATCCTTGATGAGAAGTATAAATCTCAAAGAAAAAATGTGTTAAATTAATTTTCATTCTAACATATATGATCTCTGATTGATTTTTTCCCTCCAAATCTAGAGTCTGTGTAAAGAAATCTACTCAAGAACGGTTTGCACTGAAAATTCTTCTTGATCGTCCGAAAGCTAGAAATGAGGTACGCTTTATTGCCTCGACTTAAATACTTGAAGTGCCTAAGAATTGTTCTTTTGCAAGTAAGGCGGCTTCCTAGAGAGAATACAGTGATGCATAAAAAGTTTTATGTCCAAAGTTTACTTCTCTTCCCCATTAATGCTATCATTGTAAAGTAGTCCTAGATCTGTCAAAGGCCATTGAGTCATTTCCTTTCAGCCACCTCTTGTTCTTTTAAAATTAATGTGATTCTTGTACCCTCATGTATTCAGATTTACCTCAGTTTTGCTTATTGAAAAAGATACTTAAAGGTGGAGATAAAATAGCACGAGGAAGGGTCAGGTGAATGGTGTATAAAAGTGATGCTACAGGAGGACTCTGAGGATGTTTCCAGTTTGTTTCTTCTTTTTGAGACGGAGTTTCGCTCTTGTTGCCCAGGCTGGAGTGTGATGATGCAGTCTCGGCTCACTGTAACCTCTGCCTCCTGGGTTCAAGCTTCTCCTGCCTCAGCCTCCTGAGTAGCTGGGATTACAGGCATGCGCCACCATGCATTTTTTGTATTTTTAGTAGAGGCAGGGTTTCTCCATGTTGATCAGGCTGGCCTTAACAAACTCCTGACCTCGGGTGATCCATCCGCCTCAGCCTCTCGAAGTGCTGGGATTACAGGCGTGAGCCACTGTGCCCAGCCTTTAGTTTTTAAAAATATACATTGGGTTTTTGTTTCTGTTTGAAACAGGGTCTTGCTCTGTCACCCAGGCCGGAATGCAGTGGCACAATCACGGCTCACTGCCGCCTTGACCTCCCTAGGCTCAAGTGATCCTCCTGCGTCAGCCTCCTGAGTAGCTGGGACCACAAGCATTTGCCACCATGCCAGGCTAAGTTTTTTTGCATTTTTTGTAGACGTGGGGTTTTGCCATGTTGCCCAGGCTGGTCTCAAACTCCTGGGCTCAAGCGATTTGCCCGCTTTGGCCTCCCAAAGTGTTGGGATTACAGGTGTGAGCCACTGACCCTGGCTATACACTGGTTTTAAATTATCTGGATATGGTAATGACATTCTAATAACATGTGCAATGAAGGACTTCTTTTGCATAAAGAGATGTGAATCATTTCTAAAATGAAATGAGATGTTTGCCAGATTTTCATTTGCAAATAAATGGAACAGTAGGAAGTAAACCTGTAGGTGAGGTTTTATTCATGGAGAAAGCCTTCTTAAGGAGATAATCTTTTGAAAACACTGGCTTTTTACATCATTCTGGGTGATTAAGTTTTTATTGTAATTGGCTTGTATCTAGTGTGGTCAGTTTTTGGAGAGAAAATGTTGGTATCACCTACCTATGGAAACATTTCCTCTGTTCTCTTTAAGGTACGTCTGCACATGATGTGTGCCACACACCCAAACATAGTTCAGATTATTGAAGTGTTTGCCAACAGTGTCCAGTTTCCTCATGAGTCCAGCCCTAGGTAAGACTACACAGTGTCATCATCATATGCCCATATGTAGGCCAATGTGTAGTGGAGTCATCCTCTCTTTTATGTGCTCTCTCCCCTTCCCTCTCCTTCCTCCTCCTACCCTCCCTTCCTGTGCCCTTCCTTCTCCCCCTTCCCCTCCATCTCCCTTTTTGTAATTTGGAAAATGTCAAGCATTTGTGAAAGCAGACAGAATTATGTAATGAATCCCCAAGTTCTCATGATCCATCCTCAACAGTAATCCTCTTGTGGCCAGTCTAATTTCATCTATGCCCCTACCACTCTTCAGGTCACCTGATTATTCTGATTACTTTCTCATTTCAGGAAAGCAGTTAATGTGGAATTTAAACAGATTCTGTTTCAAATCAGTGAAAGGGACCCAAATATTATTCTAGGCAAAGTCTTAGAGGCTGATAAAACAAAAAGCTTTTATTATTGCTTAGTCTGACTTTCCTTTTAAAGAAAGAAATCAACATTATTCTTTCAGTTAACAAATGTTTGGCAAGCATATTGGGTGGCATTCTAAGTCTCTTTGATGAAATTCAAAATTAAATAAGGTATGGTTTTTTTTGGGGAAGACTGAGATGTAAACCCATCATCATAGCAGTGCAATAGGCACTAAAGACAGGCATCCCTAAAATATTCTAAGCTTACAAAGGAGAGGAGCTGCTAACTATAGTCTGGGAGGAGAGGTGTCTCACAGAGGCTGTGTGGAAGCTAGGACTTGAAGGAAGGGTAGGAATTTTCCAGATGGAAAAAGAGGATAGAATTTTAAAACTAAATGGGAAATCAAACGATTATTTTTCACAACTGTGCTCTGTTGGTGAAAGCATTTGGATGGAAGCTGGAAGCATATATGAAAGAATGGTAGCCAAAAATCACATTAAATTTTTTTTTTTTCAGAACATGAGAATTTTTGCTCTTAGTAACTGTGTTACCCTGGACTTAGGAAGTTGTTACACACTTTGTAGATGCAGTATCTTTAGGTCAGCTTCTTAATGTTTCAGGGTTTTTTTGTTTCTTTTTCTTTTCTTTTTTTTTTTCCTTTTTTTTTTAACTTAACAAAATCAAATGCTTTCAAACAGGGCCCGACTCTTAATTGTAATGGAGATGATGGAAGGGGGAGAGCTATTTCACAGAATCAGCCAGCACCGGCACTTTACAGAGAAGCAAGCCAGCCAAGTAACAAAGCAGGCAAGTTAACCCCAGGTACCAATCAAACTGCCAACAAAGTTGGTTAACAAGCGCAATTTCATTGGGGGGAAGAAAAGAAAACTTAAAGAAAATCTCTATTTGACTTCTCATTGCCTGCTTTGTTATGTAATCAGAAAAGATGTTTTGACAGGAGAAATGTGACCCCTTTTATACTTGGGGGTGGGGGTACTGTGTTCTTAATTGGTTGTCAACTGTTTCCTGAGGCTGCTGTGAGATTTCAATAAATTCTGGGAGGAAGGCGACCTTAACTCCTTTGTAGACTGCAGGTATCTTTAGGCATGTAGCTACCAAGTACTGGTATTGGACTTTGCGATAAAATGCTGCTGATACCACCTGAAAGATTGTATGGTATAAAAATATATTCTAAGAGAATTGTACATAAGATGCTTCCTGCATGTGAGCCACCTTTCTGTGATTTCTTCAGATTTAATAATATCCTAAGATCTTTGTAATTCTGGATTATTCCTGGTTATATTCTATTTTGACATCACATTTTATTGCTATAGAAATGATTTATGTCATGAACAATACGAGGAATCCAACTGATAATCACTTCCTGCAGAGGTGAAAAGCTAAACCCTCAAGGGTTATCTTCAGAATACGAAGCAAGCAAAGCAAAGAGAATTAGGAAGCACAGCCCAATTGCTTCTTAATAAAAAGTTCTTCCAAGTTTCCCATGAACCTTAAGCATTTCTGGATGCCTCCTTTCTGGTAGGGAGGAACTGATACTTGGATTGCTGAGAAAATTCCATATTGAGAGTTAAAGAACAAGTAGAATCTGTTCTTTCTGTTTGATTTTAAAAATTATACCTTTAATTTTTTCAAATATTAGGATTAAAGGATGAGCTCTGATAATCTTCTATAAAATAAAACCCCTTCAAATTCACATAAAACAGGCAACATTTTCAACAAGCATGATGAGCCAAATGAGTTTCCAGTATTAGTTGGAAAAACCCAGTCAGCTGGTTTCTTGACTCTCAGCTCCCTGGAGAGTGCCATTCTTGTCTGAGCCAGGCCATCCTGCCATCCTGCCAGTAGCCCTGCTATGGGGACCGCGCCTGCTGACCATTGCTCAGCTTAGGTGTTTCTTCTGCAGTGCCTGTCATACCTCAGAGGAATGAAAGTGGGAGCATTTCATTTTCCCATTCCTTACAGGATTTACCCATCAGTTTATTCTGACAAAGAATTGCTGTACCATCATATTTTTCTTTCTGTTTGACAAAATACAAGTTGCAGTTAAACTAAGCTTAATCCATTCTGTTTCTTGGTATTCCAAGTTTTTCTTAATTTCTGCTTTAAAATTGAAACTGAATGCAGTCTTAATGAAGGCTTGTTTTTTAACACCCTGAGTTCTCTACACCAGGTGTATTAAAGAGCGATCTTTTCTAAGAAGTGGCTGTTCCATTGTGTCTTTTTTCAGATAGCTTTGGCTCTGCGGCACTGCCACTTGTTAAACATTGCGCACAGAGACCTCAAGCCCGAAAATCTGCTTTTTAAGGATAACTCTTTGGTGAGAAGACTTATTTTTCTGCATTTTAGTGCTGCTACTCTTAACCTAGTTCAGGAGTGGGTGTGTTTGGAGTGCTCTGAATTCATGGTGAAGAAGCTTTAGGCCAAAGTGCTTCAAACAGCTTGTTTCTTCTACTCGTTCCCTTGCTAGAGACTCAGAGAAGCTGTACTACTGTACTCCCGGCATTGATAATTTTGGATGATACTGATATGTATTTGTGGGACTTATGATTTTGGATATTATTTGGAGGACCTTTGGGAAGGGGCAGGAATCTATATGCTGTTATGTATTATCTTGAAACTTGATTGTTTCATGTGTGTTTTCCCTTTCAGCCCTGTCCCCTGTCCCATGTCCCACCAGATAAATTGCTGTGGCTGTCACAAAGCTTAATGGCAGATATTAAGAGTGAAGTAGCCCAGACTGATGAGAGGTGAAGGGGCCCTAGGCCAAGACCTTGATGTTAGTGCTGCCCTTACAAGTTCTAAAGCAAAAATAGCTGTGTGAGTGGGTAGGAATTCCTTGCTTCTGCATTACTAAGAACAGTTCCTCAGTGTGAATCATTGTCTCCAGACCCGGGGACATGTTATTTTCATAAGCTCACATCTCAGCCAGAAAGAAACTTGTTAGAGCTCAGGGTAACATGTCTTGCACCTGGATTTTCCTTTAATGTTTACTGAGCACTCTGGAGCAGTGGTTCCCTTTTTTTTAAAATTTCAGGATGCCCCAGTGAAGTTGTGTGACTTTGGATTTGCCAAGATTGACCAAGGTGACTTGATGACACCCCAGTTCACCCCTTATTATGTAGCACCCCAGGTAAGCATGTGCTGTTTCTGTCCTAAGATCTGTCACCAAGCTGCCCATAGACTTGTGTTCCTTCTATTCTACAGCACAAGTAGGCATATATTACAGATGGGAGGGGGAGAACTTAACTTTAGAAACCTACAGATTGCTTTATTTGGTGTAGATCTTTTATTCTTTTAAAATCAACTTTAGCCAGGTGTGGTGGCTCACGCCTATAATCCCAGCACTTTGGGAGGCTGAGGCGGGCGGATCACAAGTTCAGGAGATGGAGACCATCCTGGCTAACACGGTGAAACCCCGTCTGTACTAAAAAAAAAATACAAAAAATTAGCCAGACTTGGTGGCGCACACCTGTAATCCCTGCTACTCAGGAAGCTGAGTTGGGAGAATCACTTGAACCCCCTCCAAATTTCATGAGCTGAGATGGCACCACTCAGCTCCAAGCTTCATTTCTTTTGCTTCGCATGTTTTTGAGATTCGTCCGTGTTCCTGCATTTATCACTCGTTCCTTTGCATTGCCAAGTAGTATTTCATTATATACTTAAGCTGCATTTGTTTTTTCCATTCACTGACAGGATTTTGGGTTGTTTCTCATTTTTGACTATTATGAAGAAAGCTGCTAGGAACACTTCATTTAAGGTTTTGGGGGACATGTTCCCCCATGCCCGTATCTTTTTTCCAAAATGGTTATACCATTTTATGCTTCTACCAGCAACGTGTAGAGTTCCAGTCATTTCACATTTTTACTAACGCCTCATGCTTGTTGCTTGTCAGCATTTGTCATCTTAGTCATTTTAGTAGGGGGTAGAGTGTTACTTCATTATGGTTTTAATCACGACATTGTCCTGATGGCCACTGTTTCGGAGCACTTTTTGTACAAGTTTATTGGCCATTCTGTTGTGAAGTATGGGCATTCATCTTTTGCCCTTTTGTTATTGTTGGTTTCTTGTTAAAGATTTCAAAATATTCTGGACACAGGTTCTTTGCCGTATGTATGTTGTGTTCTTACTGCTACTGTAACATATTGCCACAAACTTAGTAGATAAAAACAACAGAAATGTATTACACTCCTGGAAATGAGAAGTCTGAAATGGTACTCAGTGCTATAATCAAGGTTGTCAGCAGGGCTGTGTTCCTTCTGGAGGCATTTCTTGCCTTTTCCAGCTTCTAGAGGCTGCCTACATCATTTGGCTTGTAGCCTCTTCCTTCATCATCAAAGCCAGTAGCACAGCATCTTCCAGTGAATGTCTCTCTCTATGACTTTGACCCTCTTGCCTGCCTCTTATAAGGACCCTGCTGATCACATTGGCCTTACCTGGATAACTCCCCATTTTAAGATTCTTAACTTAATTATTCTGCAATACAAGGTAACATAATCCCAGGGATTATAACATGGACGTCTTGGGGGGCCCATTATTCTGCCTTCCATGTATATATCATGAATATTTATCTCAGTCTATGACTTGCCTTTTAATTTTCTTAATGGCATTTGAATAGCAGAAGTTTTGAATTTAATGAAGTCTATTTCACCATTTTTTTTTTTTAATGCTTAGTACTTTTTGTTCCTAAGATCCACAAGCATAAATACTTTCTCTGATGTTTTCTTATAAGATGTTATAGCTTTAGGTTTTACATTTGGGTCTGTAATTCATTTGAGTTTGTGTGTGTATGAAATGAGAGACAAGGTTCTTTTTTTCCCCCTTCAGGGTGTCAAGTTGTTGCAGCATCATTTGTTTTTTACAAATCATCATTTGTAAAAGGATTTGTAAAAGGATTGCATCATTGAATTGCAGTTTTTTATTTGTTTATTTGTTTGTTTGAGACGGAGTTTCGCTCTTTTTGCCTGGGCGGGAGTGGTGCAATCTCGGCTCACTGCAAGCTCCGCCTCCCGGGTTCAAGCAATTCTCCTGCCTCAGGCTCCCAAGTAGCTGGGATTATAGGAGCCCGCCACCACATCCTGCTAATTTTTTGTATTTTTAGTAGAGATGGGGTTTCACTATGTTGGCCAGGATGGCCTCTATCTCTTGACCTCGTGATCCAGCCGCCTTGGCCTCCCAAAGTGCTGGGATTACAGGTGTCAGCCACTGCGCCTGGCCTGAATTGCAGGTCTTTTCTGGATTCTGTTCTGTTTGTTTAATATATGTATGTGTTTATAGCAAGAGCATCTGGATTATTGTAGCTTTATATTAAGTCTTAAGATTCATTCTTTTTCAAAATTGTTTTGGCTATTCTAGATCCTTTGCATTTCTCTACATTTTAGAATTCACTTCTGTATAACAGAAAAGCCTCCTGGGATTTGACTGGGATTGTATTTAATCTATAGATGAATTTGGAGAGAATTGATATCTTAACAATATAAAAGTCTCCCAATCGATGAACAAGGTATATATCTCTCTATTTATTTAGGTCTTTAATTTTTCTTAAAAATGTTTATACTTCTTAATGTTACAGGTCTTGCACATATTTTCTTAAATTTATCCTTAAATTTTGTTTTTGGATGCTATTGGAAATGGTGTTTTAAAACATTTCAGCTGGGTGTGGTGGCTCACTCCTGTAATCCTAGCACTTTGGGAGGCTGAGGCGGGCGGATCACCTGAGGTCAGGAGTTTGAGACCAGCCTGGCTGGCATGGTAAAACCCCATCTTTACTAAAAATACAAAAATTCGCCGGGTGTGGTGGCTGGTGCCTGTAATCTCAACTACTTGAGAGGCTGAGGCAGGAGACTCTCTTGAACCTGGGAAGTGGAGGCTGCAGTGAGCTGAGATCGTGCCATTGCACTCCAGCCTGGACGACTAGAGTGAAACTGCGTCTCAAAACAAACAAACAAACAAAAATTCATTTTCTAATTTTTTTTTTTTTTTTTTTTGAGATGGAGTCTC